GCAGAGACCCCCGCCCCCTCCTCATGCCCCCCCTCCGCACCCCCAACCACAGATCCCTCCATAGGCCGCCCCTCCCCCACCGACCGTTCCCCCCCCCACCCCAGCATGGCCACCCCTCCCCCCAGGCGGCCCGGCCGCACCGACCTCCTAACGCTGCCATTCTCGGGGCCCCAGCTCCGGCAGCGGGAGAGGGGAGGGAAGGAGCGGGGAAAGGGGGGGATGGCCCGAAAGGAAATGTCACCGGGGCGGCTTCCCCGGCCCCGCTTCCTCCCCACGGCCCGTTTGCTGCCGCGGAAGCTCCTCGCACGGCCCAACCCGCGGCGCGCTCACTGCCCGCCGGCCCCRCGGCCTCATGGGAAATGTAGTCTTGGCGTAGGGCGCCGCGCCGCCTCCCGCCCCGGGCCGCGCGGCATGCTGGGAGTTGTAGTTCSCGGCGCTGCGGGGTGCCTGGGAGTGGTAGTTCCCAAAGGTGGGGGGGAGGCTCTGCCCGTCGCTTAGCAACGCGGATGGAGGTGGCGAGGGGAGCCGCTGAGGCGAGCGGCCATTTTGGGGCGCTGCGGCCTCTCCCCTTGGGCAGGGCGGTGAGGGCTGCACGCGGTGGCCCTGCCCTGTTGGCCACCGCTGCCCRTCAGCGTCCCCCTCCACGGTACAATTCATCCAAAAGAAAGAGAAAACCCTCGCAGCTTTTCTGCCACCGGGAGGACATGGTGGGGCCGCGGCGGCATTTGGCTGCCACGACTTTACTGGGTCCCTTGGCCCTTTCATCCAAAATATATCACCGCCTGAGCAAACAGCAAGCACGTCATGCCAAAAGCAGGCATTTTTTTTCCCCTGTATTTGCACACTTAGCCATGCCGGTGCCACCTCACCAGGCACCCATCTGACTCCAGCAGCCAAGCAACCATTTTGCTGCCTGCGACCTTTGATAACAGCAGTTTCTCTCGCCTCGCAGAGACAGAGCGGCTCGTAGTTACCACTCCCTCAGCTGTTTGCCAGGCCTGGCTGCTGCGTTTGCTCCTGATAAACTGCGTCGTTATCAGGAGTTTGCTCTGGAAACATGGKTTTTTTTTCTTTTTTTTTCTGCCTTTGCTGTGTGAAATGCGGTTAATGAAAGACAAATTATGAACTACTGGAAGCCTTCAGTAGCTTTGTGTATTTTCCTGAGAAAATTTCCTGAGAAAATACATATATTAGAGCTCTAATGCAACTTTGAGGCTGAATAGTTTGGGAAGTTTGTTTACCAAAAAAAAAAAAA